CTTTTAATTGGGGCATTTAGCCCATTTACATTGAAGGTTAATATTGTTATGTATGAATTTGATCCTGTCTTTATGAAGTTCACTGGTTATTTTCCCCATTAATTGATGCAGTTTCTTCCTAGCATCGATGGTCTTTACAATTTGGCATGTTTTTGCAGTGGCTGGTACCGGTTTTTCCTTTACATGTTTAGTGCTTCCTTCAGGAGCTCTTGTAAGGCAGGCCTGGTGGTGACAAAATCTCTCAGTATTTGTTTATTTGTAAAGAATTTTATTTCTCTTTCACTTATGAAGCTTAGTTTGGCTGGATATGAAATGCTGGGTTGAAAATTCTTTTCTTTAAGAATGTTGAATATCGGCCGCCACTCTCTTGTGGCTTATTCCAAGAGATCCGCTGTTAATCTGATGGGCTTTCCTTTGTGGGTAACTCGACCTTTTTCTCTGGCTGCCCTTAACACTTTTTCCTTCATTTCAACCTTGGTGAATCTGATAATTTTGTGTCTTGGGATTGCTCTTCTCGAGGAGTATCTTTGTGGTGTTCTCTGTGTTTCCTGAATTTGAATGTTGGCCTGCCTTGCTAGTTTGGGAAAGTTCTCCTGGATGATATCCTGAAGAGTGTTTTCCAACTTGGTTCAATTCTCCCCATCACTTTCAGGTACACCAATCAAATGTAGATTTGGTCTTTTTACATAGTCCCATGTTTCTTGGAGGCTTTGTTCATTTATTTTTACTCTTTTTTCCTCTAACTTTCTCTTTATTAATTTGACCTTCAATCACTGATACCCTTTCTTCCACTGGATTGAATCAGCTATTGAAGCTTATGCATGGGTCACGAAGTTCTCGTGCCACGGTTTTCAGCTCCATCAGGCCATTTAAGGTCATGTCTACACTGTTTATTCTAGTTATTCATCTAATGTTTTTTCAAGGTTTTTAGTTTCCTTGCAATGAGTTTGAACATCCTCCTTTAGCTGAGAGAAGTTTGTTATTACTGACCTTCTGAAGCCTACTTCTGTCAGCTCATCAAAGTCATTCTTTGTCCAACTTTGTTCCATTGCTGGTGAGGAGCTGCGATCCTTTGGAGAAGAGGCGCTCTGATTTTTAGAATTTTCAGCTTTTCTGCTCTAGTTTGTCCCCATCTTTGTGATTTTATCTACCTTTGGTCTTTAATGTTGGTGACCTACAGATGGGGTTTTGGTGTAGGTAACCTTTTTGTTGATGCTGATGCTGTTCCTTTCTGTTTGTAAGTTTTCCATCTAACAGGACCTTCAGCTGCAGGTCTGTTGGAGTTTCCTGGAGGTCCACTACCAGACCCTGTTTGCCTGGGTGTCACTAGCAGAGGCTGCAGAGCAGCAAATATTGCAGAACAGCAAATATTGCTGCCTGATCTTTTCTCTGGAAGCTTCATCCCAGAGAGGAAGCTACCTATATGAGGTGTCTGTTGGTCCTTACTGGGAGGTGTCTCCCAGTTAGGCTATACAAGGGTCAGGGACCTACTTGAGAAAGCGTCTGTCTGTTCTCAGAGCTCATAATCGTGCTAGGAGAACAATTCCTGTCTTCAGAGCTGTCAGACAGGGAACAAGTCTGCAGAAGTTGTCTTCTGCCTTTTTGTTCAGCTGTGACCTGCCCACAGAGGTGAAGTCTAGAGGCAGTAGGCCTTGTTGAGCTGCAGTGGGCTCCACCCAGTTCGAGCTTCCTACTGTTTTGTTTACCTACTCAAGCGTCACCAATGGTGGACACCCCTCCCCCAGCCAGGCTGCTGTCTCACAGATGGATCTCAGACTGCCGTGCTAGCACTGAGCAAGGCTCCGTGCCTGGCACAGGAGAGAATCACCTTGTCTGCTGGTTGCTAAGACCTTGGAAAAAGCACAGTATTTGGGTGGGAGTGCCCCATTTTTCCAGGTTGTTTATCACAGCTTCCCTTGGCTAGGAAAGGGAAATCCCCTCACCCCTTGCACTTCCCAGTTGAGGCGACGCCCTGCCCTGCTTCACCTCGCCCTCCATGGACTGCACCCACTGTCCAAATAGTCCCAGTGAGATGAACCTCGGTTGGAAATGCAGAAATCACCCACATTCTACATCGATCATGATGAGAGCTGCAGACTGGAGATGTTCCTATTCGGACATCTTGGAACACCCCTCCCAGCAAATATATTAATAGTTATGATGAGCGTAGTAAGACGTGTATTTTTCTTGGGGAAAAAAGACTGATTAAAATCTCATATTGAAAGGACACAAAGATAGATGTGTACCCGCCCCCCACCCGCTACACCCTTGTTCTGCTCTCTAATCTTTGCACGTACCAGAGGTTTCGTAAGTTCTGTAAGTACATGTTTCTCTTTCTGAGGCCAGGTCACAAGGAATGTTTAAGTAAGATAGCCAGGTCACAAGGTGTGTTTAAGCAAGATAGCCATAAACTGGTCGTGCAACCTGATGCAATATAATTAACTGCCTTTGTGTAAAACTGCTCTTCCGCCTCAAGGGTTGTACTGAAATATCAGAAATGGCGGGAACCAATCATAGTTTGCCAAATCGCTTTGTTCAAACTCCAGCCAATCATACCTCTAATTTGTATAATGATTCTATGCCTACTTTCCTTAGACTATATAACATTGTTCGGAGCTCAGTAGGGGAGCTCTCCTGCCCGTCTCGTTTCACGAGCAAGTGAGAGCTCCAGGTTCGAACCTGTAATAAAGATCCTTGCTGCTTAGCTTTGACTCTGGACTCTGGTGGTCTTCTTCGGGGAATAAACGGTCTGGGCATAACAATATAATCAGACAATATAACTTGGTTTCTCAGTGTCGTTAGTCACTTTCTGACAATCCAGCATTTCCAAGTAGGACTCAAGTTTTCACATGAAAGGTAAATTCAGACTTTCTACCATTTTCTTCATGGAAATTCAGAAGCAATAAACGAAAAGAAGGAAAAATTTTTCCTTAATTCATTTTAGTAAAACAAGAAGAAAGCTAAAACCCCAGACCTCAAAGTATCAAAACGACAAAATGTCAGTGGAGATTGATCACGGTGTGTTGTAGAGGAGACAGAGGTAAACAAACCCCACGGGGATCCTATAGCAGCTGGAGATTTCTCAAAGAGCAGCAGAAGCATGCTTCCCAAATACAGGGGCCACAGCCACATGCACACAACATAAATCTTGTGTTTGCAAGAATAGAGGTTATGGTGAACTAGCTGCAGCAAGAACTTCCTACACCTAACTATAGGTTCCAGAAGCAGAAAAAGTGAATTAAATGAAGACTCACATAGACACATTATATTTGCAAGCATTGTCCTGTTTGTATGGCACTGAGAAAAGGAGAAATTTACATTATTAAAAAGGAAATTTGAAAAATTAGTCTCTGTTGGCTCAGAAATGAAAGCTAAATAAACTTACACATAAAACCCTGAGTCAACGAAAAAAGTCAGATCTCTTAGTATACAATTGTGCCTTTTTCCCCTCACACAAAAAAATTAGAAATAAAACATAAATTATATATGTATATATACACATATAAATAACATAAACCAATAGTTTTTTTTATACATAAACAAGTAAGTTAGAAGACATCACTGAAAAACACCATTTAAAATAGCAATAATAGACCAGGTGCTATACCTCATGCCTGTAATCCCAGCAGTTTGAGAGGCTGAGGCAGGCAGATCACTTCAGGCCAGGAGTTCAAGACCAGCCTGGTCAATATAGTGAAGAAACCTCATCTCTACTAAAAATATATTTTTTAAAAATAGCTTGGCATGGTGGTGCACACTGGTAGGCCCCGCTACTCAAGAGGCTGAGGCACAATAATTGCTTAAGCCTGGGAGGTGGAGATTGCACTGAGCCAAGATTGTGCCAGTATACTCCAGCCTGGGAGACAGAGTGAAACTCTGTCTAAAAATGACAGCAACAAAAAAGCAATAATACAGATTAAATACCCAGAAATAACCTTTCTAGCTGAAAATAAAAATAAGCTTTTTAGCTGAAAATAAAAAATACTAAAAATATCAAACTCTAGTTCATGATGTGCGTGCTGAAGTATTTAGCCAGATGGACACTGATATCTCCAATTTATTTTGAAATGCATCAGAAACTAAGATAGATTAGGGTATAGAAGGCCAAATAGATGAATGTTAAAGGAAGGTTAGTAAACTGTTAATAGTAGAATCTAGGTGACATGTAATGGGCGTTCACCGTAAAATTCTTTCAACATTTCTACATGCTTAACAATTTATATAATAAAATATTGGAGAAAGTTTGAAGAAACTAAAATAGTAATGAAGGATTACTAGCCCTGTATTTAGCATTCTGAAATGTAAACAAACTCCTAATATTTAGCTTAAGTAGAAAGAAAGATCAATGGAACATAGGAGAAAATTCCAAAATAGAACACCACCAAAATATCGCAATTTAATATATTTATCAATGTCAATGCAGGTTAGAAGAGAAGAAAGGGATTATTTAATAGCTTTGAGAGAAATGAGCTGCCTTCTGGAAGAATGTATTTGGTTCTGAGGCAGCACAGGTAGTCAAGGAAATGACTATGTTCTCTGCACACAACAACCATGGTGACTGTACAGTCTGTACAATCAGCTCAGCATTCACATTGTCATTGAGCTCATTCAAGCGAACGTATCCTAAGTTGCGACCTTCCCCTGTAGGGAGAATACAACCTTTGATTTTACCTGTTCTCAGACTTACCCTTTGCTGACTTTGATAGTAAAAAGCAAATTCTGGGTGGAGACATAAGATGCTAATGAGATACGTGACATATGAACAAGCATGTACAGCTACCACCACAAGTGCACCCAGAGGACCACCCAGAACATGCTTACTAGAAACACCTCTCTCACCACCTTATGAATAATCATGTAAGACTCCCGTACATGGAGTCTCCCTAGTAGTGCCAGTCTTTACTGTCTCATTCTTACCCCCAGCCCACCATGACCCCTCTCTCTTAGGGTGTCCTGTCCATTCTGCACCTAAATTTTAACATATTCTTTTTCTTTTGCAGTAAGTTACTCCATGCTACATCTCCTTTACTGAGTAGTCCTTGTTTAAATTATTTTAAACTAAGAAGACAAGAACTGAGATGTCAACATTTCTGGTGCTGTTACTTGGATAGATGTTTGTCCACTTCCTTGACTTCAATTTTCCTTACCTGTGGTGAGTATTGTCACTGTACCAGACTACCTGGTTGACTATCACTATTTTCCTCTGTGAAGTTCTTATCATTGTGAAGTTCTGGGAAAACAGTTTATAAATCTCCTATATTCTTTATGTAGATATGCTGCCCTGTTTTTGGCTGCTGCTTCTGTACTATTCACAATTATTCCAACCACATAGGTTGCTCTCAAGTCAATATTTGGGCTACTTTGTTATTTAATTTCACATCTTTCTGGCCACACTTAAAACTCAGCTAATCAAGTTTGTTGTCTAGTTTGTTGTCTCCCCCGACTGCCCTAATACTTAACCACCACCTACTGGCTGTTATGATTTATTTTCCAATTAAGTTTTCTGTTTATAAAATTTTCTTTGTTTTCAGGGGCACATTAAGAGTAACCCACGCCTTCAGTCATGTAAAAGCAAGTTGCAGAGATTGTATCCAGGCATTGCAGGTATTATAATTAGGCATCACAAATGGCAAGTCAGTAAGATAGGGAATAGCTCATTGGCAAGACATCTGGGCAACCCCATCTAGCAGCAGGAGTCATCTTGGTTGGGCATGGAGATGCCCAGTACCGGTAAGACTAAAATAGTGCAGCACAGATGGCCAAGACCTCCTACAGACTCAGTTTAATAGGCACTCAACTGCATGCCCTGAACCCGTTCATGGCTTAACTTGACTCATGGAATGCCATGGCCTCCTAGACTTCAGTATATGTTCTGTCATTGCAGGATTTTCTCTGGCCCCCTAGAAACCACTTCTTCCACTCTCACTGAAACATCCCTAGAATGTGTATTTAAAAATTGGGGCCAGGCCTGGTGGCTCATGCCTGCAATCACAGAACTTTGGAAGGCTGAGGTGGACAAATCACTTGAGGTCAGGAGTTTGACACCAGGTTGCCCAACATGGTGAAACCCTGTCTCTACTAAAAACACAAAAATTAGCTAGGTATAGTGGCAGGCACCTGTAATCCCAGCTACTTGGAGGATTGAGTCAGGAGAATCTCTTGAACCCAGGAGGCAGAGGTTCAGTGAGCTGAAGTTGCAACGCTCTAGCCTGAGTGACAGAATGATACTTTGTCTCCAAAATAAATAAATAAATAAATAAAGGAACACTTTTCAGTTAGATGAGCTAAAGAAAGAAAAAACAAAAACTTAAATTTTTCTGTATCACTGTTTGGTCTAGGTACAAGTTAGCAAACAATGAACAATGACCAGAGAATAGGAGTACGAATTTTAAAACTATGCTACAGCTAGATCTTTTTCATAGGGAAAGTGGTCTGACTTACCCTACGTGCAGGGCTCTATGGCCTTACAACAAAACTTACCTCTGTGCAGCATCTGTGGGCTAAAACCCAGTAAGCCAAAAAGCCCCCAGAGCCATAAGAAGATCCTCTTTTCTTAAGGGGAAAAGAATACAGACCCCATGGCCTAATACCAGTTCCAGATAGGTGTCTCAGGGGCCCACACTGTTCCTAGACCAAACTGAGGGTTGGGCTGCCATTTCTCACATCCCAATAAGGAGATGCAGATGAAGTGGGGAAGAAGAGAGTTTTTATTTCTGTAACCGGTTACAGGGAGAAGTCCTGGAAATTATCACCAGGCCAACTCTAAATAACAAATTTTTCCAGAGCTTATATACCTTATAAGCTATATATCTAGATTAAGTGTGCATTCATCTAAGGATATAAGTGGTTAACTTTTTAAATGTATAACTAAGATCTAAGTCCTCACGACCTTCTTCTGGAATTTCAGTAAATTTACTTAATTCAAATGGGTCCAAGTGCTGGGGTAATTACCCTTATCTTATCTCCTGCTAAATCATAAAGGTTTGGGGAGTTCCTTTAGACCCCAATAAACTTGTCTGTGGAGGCCTCAGGGATTTCTTCAGACCCTAAATAAAACTTGTTTAATCCTAAAAAGAGTTCTGTTAAGAATTCCTTCATTATCTTGTCATGTTTCAAGGCCCAGGAAAAGCCTAGGCAAAACTCTTGCTGGGCTTTTTGTTACAAACCAGACTTTGTATAAGGGCACTTGCTCTTAATGTTTAAGTTAACCACTTGGTCAGTAATGAAACAGCTGTTATGGAGGCCTGCATTAGTGAGACCTGCCCTGCCACAACACCTCCTTTAGAGTTTCCAACATCCTCTGTATTATCAGAGTCTTTTGTGGAATCTAATTCTGTTTTACCTCCTCCTTATTCTCTTCTCTTCCCTCTTTCACCAGCTGTATTAGTCAGGGTTCTCTAGAGGGACAGAACTAGTAGAATAGATATATATATATATAAATAAAGATGAGTTTATTATTAATTCACATTATCACAAGATCCCACAATAGGCCATCTATAGGCTGATGAGCAAGGACAGCTAATCCGAGTTCCAAAACTGTAAACCGAGTCCCATGTTTGAGGGCAGGAAGTGTCCAACACAGGTGAAAGATGTAGGTTGGGAGGCTAGGCCCATCTCTTTTTTCACATTTTTTCTGCCTGACTTTTACTCTAACTATGCTGGCAGCAGATTAGATGGTGCCTACCCAGATTGAGGGTGGGTCTGCTTTCCCAGCCCACTGACTCAAACGTTAATCTCCTTTGGCAACACCCTCTCAGACACACCTAGGACCAATACTTTGTATCCCTCAATCCAATCAGGTTGACACTCACTATTAACCATTACACCAGGTACAATAGGGAGTAGCCCAGCTGGAGTTACTTACAGTGTGACTTCATACCATCCAGGGCCAGAAAAATTGCTCCCCTTACAGCAGGTCCCAAATGGAGAGGGGACCATAGAGCACATATTCCATTGTCAATAAATGATCAATCCAATTCAATCAAAAACTCAGATGGTTCTCAGAGGACACCATTGCATTTACTCTCTTCTTTCTCACTTCATCTGCATCTCCTTATTGGGATGTGAGAAATGGCAGCCCAACCCTCAGTTTGGTCTAGGAACAGTGTGGGCCCCTGAGACCCCTATCTGGACCTGGTATTAGGCCATGGGGTCTGTATTCCTTTCCCCTTAATAAAAGAGGGTCTTCTGGGGGCTTTTTGGCTTCCTGGGTTTTAGCCCACAGACTCTAACTTCTCCTTTGATTTAAACTGGAAAGAGATACAAATTGTCCTTTTACTTGCTGTACCAGGGCAACTGACCACCCTTCCACTCACAAAGTGAGAGCTATTGCTGGTCCCTCCCAGGACCCACAATGGGATTATAACAGGTCTGGAAGAATAAAAAGTAGGTACTACATGGTTTTATAGCTCCTGGCCGGGATGAGACAATGTATTTTAAAAACCATTAATTTTGAGAAAGCCAAAGAAGTCACACAGGGTAAAAATTAAAACCTGGCCCTCTTTCAGAGATGGAGGCCTTCTGAAAGGCCCAACATAGACCCTACATCTGCTGAAGGCCAAGTTTTACTGTGACAACACTTCATTATCCAATATTTCTCAGATATCAGGAGAAAACTTAAGAAATTACAATTAGGGCAAGAAACACCTATGCCTCAACTAATAGAAGTGACTTTTAAAGTATTTAATAACAGTGATCTAGCTAAGAAGAAAAGCCAAGCTCAGCATGAGAACAGGTGAGATAAGGACCAGGCTAAAATGATAGCTATTGCTTGCTTTAAATTATAAACGGTCATAGCACGGAACCAGAGTGCACCCAGCCACCCCAGGGCCATGCCCAGTGTGTAAATAGGATGGCCACTGGGGAATGAATTGTCCTCAATCCTGAAAGGGAAAAGGAGACATGCTCCCTCAAGATGGTGCTAACTCAAAAGGAAGGCCTGGGGATCCAGATGCCCCGCACTAAGAAGGACATCACGAAGTCACCAGTCTCTAAATCCAGGTGACTTTTGTGTGGCCAGCAAGAATACTAATTTTTTCATCTTTACCTGGGTCTCTTACTTTCTGATGCTGGATCACTGGCCTCCAAAGATTGTACTATATATAGGAACAATAGGCAACCCCATTGTTACTATTTGACTCCCTTATACACATGTCGGTATACAGATCAGTTAATGTCACGCTCATTTTTGCATATTCCTGAGTGTCCTACCATGCTCTAAGGCAGAGATTTGTTAAATACCATGGGTGCCATCGTATCACTCAAAGGAACCAGGCCTTCCCAAATGGTGCTCACTGATGGGCCCACAGATCACCTCCCTAAGTCAATCTCAGAGCAAATCATTACTGCCATCTGTATGGCAGAGTACCTAGAAGAACCCTTCAGGCTCAACCTGTGCTCATTAAAGTATGGGATCCAAATAAGTAACCCAATAAAAAACAATATCCCCTAAAATTACAAGCAAGAAAAGGATTAGAGTCCTTGATTTCTAAATTTTTGCAGCATTGTTTACTGGTGCCCTGCCAATCATCTTGTAATATTCCTATTCTACCAGTTATAAAGCCAACTGGAGAATATCAACTTGTATAAGACCTGAGAATCATGAATGAGACAGTAATTCCTCTTCATCCTTTAGCAGCTAACCCTTATACCTTGTTAACCCAAATTCCAGGATATTGACAATGGTTAAGGTCTAAACCATTTTATGTAAACCATTTAGATACATGCCTGAATGCTGCTGCCCCAGGGCTTTCTTTTTCTTTTTTCTTTTCTTTTTTTTTTTCATTTTTCATTTGTTGCCCCAGTGCTTTCAAAATAGCCCTCCACTGTTTACATGAGCCCTAAACACCTGATGTAAACACTTGTGGGGCAGGTTGGAGGTTCTCCACAGGACCCTTCCCTTACTGTTCTTCTAAAGCAAGCTGGCTAACTCCTTTCAATATCAGGTGCTCCTGCTGGACTCCTTTGAGGTTACTGTAAAAACTTTTAGCACCCTTAATCCAGCTTCTCCCATGCCAGTTAATTCCTTGGAGACCCTAACTTATTGCGGTATTGAAACCATAGACTAGATTTATTCACATAGATCTCAAAAGATACATCTCTTGAGAATCCTGCTGCTGAATGGGTCACTGATGGAAGTAGTTTTGTGGAAAA